TAACAGGGGCATGTATCAAAAAGAAAAAAATATATTGTTGCTCAAATAGTTGTAAGTGACATACCTACACCTCATAATATTATTATACCAACCTATAAAGTATCCTATTTTCCTTCTATAAATACCCACCCACCCATATTTAAGGTGTTGCCTGAGCTACACTTGAACACAAGCCACTGAGGTTACTAATATAATAATGTCATCTGCGTGTTTTTGATAAATTATATAATATAGTTTTTGAGTTACTTACCTATCTTTATTATTCGACGTTTGTGAACAGTGAATGTATATTTTTAAAAATTTGGTTTGTTAAAATTTATTTGAATATACAACGCGTTTTTCAAAATAATAACAAACACAAAAAATGTTTTAACGCTACAAAGACTATTGGGACTACCGGTCTGCAGGTTATGTTAGATATTTAGATGTGATAATTGGCAAACTTGAAGACTTTGATTAAGTAGTATATTTTTGACGAATGAAAGGCATTCGTCTTGTGTTTGTCTAAAAATAATTTCTCGAATTATATGTTATAATTTAAGTATATACATAAATGTATAATGAATTTAAATAAAGCGCATTTAACTTAAAATGTTCCTTATATGTTTTATACAATTCTTTAAATTGTTGTTGTCACTTTACACCAGTAAAAATAAAAAAAGAGGTAATCCTTTGATCGTTGTCTTTACATATAGTCATTTGTATCAAGAAGTATTATACATTGTAAAATGTTGACGCTTAATTAAAATAAATTAATCAATATTATAATCATATAACGTAGATATTTAATTATGTAAAATATACAAATTATTTTGATTTATCAAAAACAAGCTTTTCAAACATTTAATTGGAATTAAACCTAATTAAATGTAAGAGTATGATTTTTACTTGAACATACTTACCTATTGATTAATGTTTCTATCTATACCATAATCGCAATACATAAAGTACAGACGTAGATCATTATAGTTTGCAGTTTTTCTAGCATTATTTTCATATTGTTAAACCTATGACATGGTCTTCTTAAAATCTTTACGATAGTTACTTATTTTGTTTTCAATATTGCCATCGACATATTTGAAAACACTTTGTTATTTATAGACAGTATTCTATAAGTATAAAAATAATTATTCTTAATATATAACTTTTCAATTATCTGTGATTTTTATAATTGTATCTTGTAAACTATTAGGTCTTCGTTAGTTATCTAATGTAGGTAAATAATTGATCTGAACTTAAAACAATAAAACCCACATATTTGAACAATGTGTTGATTATATTAATTATTATATTAATTATTATATTATGTACTGGTACAAAGCAAATGATAAAAAGCAGTAAATTAACATTGGATTGACATCAATTAACCATTTACAGTTTGTACTTTTGTAGTATTTAGATAACGAAATTGTATAGGTATAAGAACGATAATGACGATTTCATATTTTAAATGATTTTTTTTTTATGCACAATCTATAAAATATTTTTTTACAATAAGTAAAATTTCTGTACGATGAGTGTTGGGTTGATTGTGGGTAGGTGAGAGGCCTTCCATTGAAGGCACATACCAAAATCGTTTTTAGCCTTAATAATTTGTTTCAAATATAATATTTTATCACACCAGTAATCGTACATTTATTATTGATTTTAAAGTCGTTAAAATGTATAGGTATTAAATATTGTATGACTGTTATTATAATTATTATTACATAGTATGTAGTATGTACATTCTATGATTTAACATTCCTAGTTCCTAAACAATGTACAAATTAAACAATCCACAAAGAGAAATACATGAAAAAAAAATAAACTATTTCAGAACACATAATAGAAGTAGGTATACCTATAACATAATACTATAATGATAAGACAACAAATGATTACGTGTTAGTTACCACAATACCACATTTTTTTTTTAAATTCTTAACTCTAAAATGTTTATGACATATTACCTACATAATATAGATTTATATAATTTTACTTTTGCTAAAATAATGTTAAAACTCAATTGAAAATAAAAAAAAAGTAGAAAATCAGGTTTAATGATTTAAAAAGAAAACGTTTTATACAACATATTTTACATTTTTTTTTTTTATAAATATTTAACTACCGCTATAGGTAGGCTATAATAAATCAAAAAATGTATTAGAGTTATACCACTGAAAATTATTTAGACTTTTATTTTATACACTATGAGGTTATTACACGAAACATAATTTCTAGTTTAATTTCTTTAAATAAATATTAGAAAATATGTTTGGTGAAAGTAAAAAATTAAAATAAAAGTAAATAGTTAAATTTTAACATCTTCTTCTCTACTAAAGGCCTTGCAATTATTTAGTAGATGCCTCACCAATTACCACCACTGGTGAAAACAGCAAGTCCTTTTCCTTTGTGTGAACCCCGTTCAGTGAATCTCTTTTGATCGTCCTCCATAATGTCGTTCTGAAAAAATATAAATTATGCATATTATTTCTTATTAGTAGGTAACAAGTCACTACAAATATATTGAAATTAAAAAAATCCTTACATGTGTACAAACGAACCAAAACTGATAAAATGGTGAGCTTTTGTGCTGGACAAGGACGGCGTTTTAAATATATACGTATATAATATTAAGGGGCTCCAGCGTATCATGTTTTAAGGAGTCATATTTAGAAATTTCACATGACATGATTGAAATAAACATTATTTATTTATTTTTTTTTTTAATTTAAACGAGATGAACCCAATAACAATTTAATAGTTATTACATTAGTAAACTTAAATCTATTTGATAGACTGTAATGACAGTAATATAATCACAAAAACAAATACGAGTATTATAAAATAATAATAATAATAATATCTAGGATAATAGTACAAATAATAATATCTCAATATAACAATACAATTATCTAGGATAATAATTCAAATAATAATAATAATAAAAAATATAAAAAATATAAAATAATAAATTATATAAATTATTATAAAATAATATTTATAATATTATATTATGTATAATGGGCAATATAGTCACAAAAACCATCAAAAGCATGAAAATTAAATAAATAAACCTGGTCATCATTAGCTAATTTCATTAATTTATTTAAAGGCGAGGCAAGTGCATAATTTGTCCTTTGAAATTTAATGTAAAACGTTTTTTTGGATCTAGTTCGACATTCAGGAACATTAAAAGTTTAGCTACTAAGCATTAGTGTGTGTTTTCAAGAATCGCTGTACCTAATGCCGCGTCGAGCAACTCTCGCACGCGCACGCACATGTTTCTATGGTGCTCTTCTCAAAAACCGAAATATATTCTTTTTTGTTTGTTTTTAAATTAAACATAATTCCTGAAGTTCCATTGTTATTTCGAAAAAATGGTTCCTTTTTGAAGCTTCTAGACTATGCTCTTTAGGATTCACTTTTTTAATTTAAAATCAGAAGTGCTCAAAATAAATACCTACGTCAAAAATATGAACTTTTTTCTTGCTACACATTCAGGTGACACCAGCTGATTCCGGACGCACTCTTGAAACTCCTTAACCGAGAGCTGCTTTCTTGCGGTGACTGTGGGTAATGAGAAATAGCCAATAGGTTGGGTTGAAAAAAAATAAGAAATAAATGATTGGTAGGTATAGTTGGATTTGACAGGAACGAATAGGACCTACATCGTTGAGTCCTAGCTAGCGTCGTGTAAAGGCGAGTTTCCACTATACACGAATGCGTGTCCGTACATACAAATAATTTGCTGTGATTGGTTGGTTAGGATCAGTTACCACACCATTAACCACGATACCGTGTTGTTGGACATAGCTGAACATTTTTCGTGTACACGGCAAACGTGTATAGTGGAAACTCGCCTTTAAGCCGGAATCACAGCTGCGTCGTGTGTCGTGTCGATCAAATCGTATTGTGATTGGATATTACTTTTTTGGTACAATATAGTAACCGATTTGTAACCGAGTATACCAAGAACTGACTACTGCTCAACTTTGAAACCATATATTGTTTACCAGTCGCAACCATATAATAACCAAGCCCTCGCACGACACACGACGTATAGCTGTGAATGCTCCTTTGCGTATTCGCCGTTCGGTCAGGCAATCGCTTAGCGCATTCGGGTGCGTTGTGTTGCTCAACGACCACGGCACACGTTGACGCGTCCGCCCGACCGATAAAACCGACGTGGGCTACAACACGAGTGTGGCCGTGTGGTTGTATCGGTGTCAATAATAGGCACTATAGCCACTGACGACGATCGACTTTAATATCATAGGCTATAGTGTAGGTACTGTACCACATTATACAGTTAGTTAATAATAACGATTACCTACGTATAATATCGGTTACCTAGGTATAATACCAGCTCTAGCTGTACATAAGTAACGTTACTATTATTTTGCCGACTGGTCGCCCGCCCGCGGCGAGACGAAATAGTTTTCCGAGCGGGCCGAGAGTACGTTGAAAAAAAAAAAGAGCGTACCTACGCACGCTGCACAAAATATCAGCTGTACAAATATAACACATCGACACCTGCTGCACGTATACCTCCGGGTGGCCCGCGAGGTGTTAGGATTATACTTATTATAATAATTATTATTGCCGCGATAATGATCGAACTGACACGCGGTTCGTCGAACCGCAAGTATACCTACGTAATGTTATAACTTATATTATTATAACACAATAATATCATGTTAGGTTGTAAGTACCTATGTTATACAATCGCGGGGAACTTTTAACCCGTGATAAGAGCCAGAGCACATTCTGACACGCGATTCGTCCGTCGGATACTGTTGTTACACAAAATATTACACTAATATGTTGTATCCACAGTCGCAGTCTATATTATTGTATTGAAACAATAACAATACAATTATTGTTATTTTAATATAAAATTATATTGCCACAATAATATTTCCGCGTTCTAACGGGATCTTGGCGTCTGTCAGCTGCAGCCGATTGTAGCCTAACCTATACATCGTATCGTTTCGTGCCGGTGGTCGTCGGCGAAAATGTCTGTCATCGACGCGACCGCACCTCCCGTTGAGTCCACGACCATCACCCGAGAAGACGGTAACGGCCATTCCGATCGACGACGACAACAACAACAACAACAACAACAACAACAGCACCACGACCACGGATCGGCGACGTCGGTCAGCGCCGGAGGAGTGACGTTCGACGACTTGGACGACACGGACGAGACCGTATCCATCGTCGTCGACGGTGTCACTGATCGGACGCCACTGCTGACTCGGAGGGTTACGTACCAGGACGAAGACGGAATCTGCAACGACCGCGGCACGGACAGAGTCGTCGTCATCGACGGGCAAGTAAATCTCTTCCGAATTTACGAACCGGTCGCTATAACACACATATCATTATATTATTATTTATTTAAGTCACGGACAACATCGTCCATGACGGTTTGATCCGCAAAAAATCACCAGTGGTCCCTCTTTGCCCCACACCGAAATTCCGCCATTTCTTTCGACCGATTCTGTAACGTTTACCAAGTCGAAATAGTCCGCGGGGACACCGTTCACAATTGTATCATATAATATTAGAGAGATGCACTTTGCGCATTCATATCATATTATCTGCATCCTCTTGTAGTCACGTCCTGCACGTTCGCTTGTTTCGTATATTTATACCGTAGGTACCACGAAATCCCGTTTTTGGTTTTTCTATTTCATACTAGTCAAAGTCACCGCTGCCACTGATTTATAAATATAAGCTACGGATTCCTAGCTGCTGGCTGGGTATTTATTTATAATCAATGGGGAACTGCTGATGCTGCTCTATACATAAATAATTATACTCGCGACGTTGCACTTTGCGTCGTGCTATAATATTGTGTTGGTTACCTTTATAAAGTCACTATGCACAATGCAGCCATATTATTATGATAGCTGCAGCCTGCAGGTACTATAACATGATATTTCGGTGACAATGTTAAGAACTATTTTTTATTTATTTTTCACCGCATAATATAATTGTTCAAGAGACGATAATAGTTATTCCTGTGTGATATAAAAACAAATAATAGAAACATTGAAACTTAAAAACGTGTACTATTACCTACAAAAACTGTAGGTATAATATCCAACCGTTGAGAAAAAAATGTTAGTAGGTATATGTATATAATTTATTACACGAATATGAATAAATTGCTCATTTAATTGACACGTGGCCACGTGGACGTGGGTATTAATAGATAATACTATAGGTAGGAATACATTCATAACCTTTTAAATTATTTTCTATTAATGTGTACACTGTTGTGTAAAACATAATGAACGAAATACGCTACCGCACGTATCACGTATTTTCTTGTGTATAATTTAAGATGCGTGACAGAACATTATGATGTGTATATAAAAAGTTATGCTACATTACTATTTCCAATTACTATAATATTATATTATTTATAATTTCTTCAGCAGTTACTGAAAAATCACATGAAAATTGCATAATAAACTAAGAATGCGAATGCTCTGAAGTGTCAGTGAGTTTGATAAGTCTCCTTTTACCCCTGATTGCAATATTGTATTTTAAATTATAATAATTGTATAATATCTTACTACCTTAGTAGTTAGAACCTAGGGCTATATAAGTATCCTTCTATAAACAATTTGATATATCATGAAATAAATAAATATAAGCAACAAAAACATAGGTAAGCCATAAAGTAGAAGAAATATTATCGATTATTTAATATGTAAATTAAATTACCTTCTAGAACATATTAGTTATTTTTTATTTAACAGAATACAACTATAAACTAAAAACTTAACAAACATTGAATAAAAATATTTAGGTGATAGGTACCTTCATGACTATATTTGTATTATACATATAAATATATTATAGCTATCTATAAACCTATTATATATACAAAATAATATACGCATTACACATTTTATTTAGTTCTTATAATATATAACGAATGGGGCAATTTTTTTTCAAAGGTAAGTCATTTTTATTTACTGATATATTATTAACGATTTCGGAAATATTATTTTCAGAAAATGTTATATCATTACATTACAACATTTTCGAATAAAAAAATTATATATTTATTTTTTACTGATTGTACCTTTATTATTCTGAAAATTCTAATTTATAAAAATTAGTAGTTATAATTAGTATACCTAGTTATCTTATAAAGTAGTGATGGTGCACTCATTTAAATAATTGTAACTACTAGTTCGAAATTTGATTTTTATGTTTCAAAACTCGTAGGAAAATATTTTAGTTTAGAATACAGTGTTAAAAAAGTATGCTGTCATTCAAAAATGTATAAAAATACAAACAATAGATTTTTATACATTTATAATAGGTAATTTTATGAAGCTTTTATAATATCTTTAACTCTATTGATTCTACTGTATTATATTATTATTTATAAGTATAACTTCAAGCAAAATATTATAGTATATTGAAAAGTACCTACCTATATATAATATTATAGTTTTAGATAAATAAATATTATCTTTTAGAAGAAAATTCTGTTTAACTAAAAATACATTTTATCACGGTTTAATGTCATTTATTGTTATTTTATTTTAAAAATCTTGAACTATACACGTAACTAGCTATATATATTTGTAATTTATGACATACCTTACAATTAAGTTTTTTTAGATTCTGAGCGGAGCGATGAATGTATTGGTTTTACAATGATGTATGTTTTTATATTTTTACATTTTTATTTATATTTTTATTTATATTTTTATTTATATTTTTATTTATATTTTTGTGTCTGTCATCACGTTTTGGGACAGTAAAAGTGCTTCGATTTTCTTTAATAGTACCTTTTCTGATAGGAAAGTGAATCTAGTTGGTACTTTGGGGGGTCAAAGATAAACATTTTCCAGTAGTTTTCACAAGCGCCGGGAAAAACAACATAAAAATTAAGGAAAAACGGGAATTTTTACGCAAAATCGATTTTCCAAAAAATCGAATTTGGTTATTGGTGTAGCTTTAAAACAAATGACCGTAGATACATGAAATTTTCACTGGTTGTTTATATTTGCATTTTCTATACACGATAACATTTTCAAAATATTTTGATTTATTTTGAACTGTTTAGGGACATTTTCATTTTTCATTTTTTTTTAGTTTTTTTTCTAGAAATATCAATAAAATTTTATTTGTTGGTTGCGAAAGCTTGAAAATTTAATAGAAGGCTCCTAATATGTTGTTTCAAAGGCAGATGAAAAATATTAAAAATCCTTAGTCACAATTTTTTTTTATAAGCATTTAAAGTTCAAAAATTGACAAAATATGGAAAAATCACGAAAATTAGCAAATTATTTTGAGTTAAGAATTCGTAAAAATTTTTCTTTTTAAATCTAAGATTTGAAAATGAAACACAAGATTCCTTATAAGATTATCTACCTTTATCAATAAAAAAATCTCTACCGGACAGTCAAATTAAATTTTTATGAGCGTTTGAAATTCAAATTTTTACAACATTGGATTTTCACTCGATTTCTCATGTAGCGATTTCCTTATTTTGTTGTAATTCAAAAACGAATAACTGTAGATACATGAAAATTTCACTGAATGTTTATATTAGCATTTCCTATACACCATACAATTTTGAAAATATTTTGACTCTTTTTGAGCTGTTTATGGACATTTACAGCTTTCAATTTTTTTTAGTTTTTTTTTCTATAAATATCAATAAAGTTTTATCTGTTGGGCCAAAAAGTGTAAAAATTTAATACAAGGCTCCTGATATATTGTTACAATATCAGTTGAAAAATATTAAAAATACATAGGCACGATTTTTTTTATAAGCATTTAAAGTTGGAATTTTGACAAAATTTATCAAAATCTCGAAAATTATCAATCGTTGGAATTAAAAAATTATAAAATGTTCAGTTTTTATAACTAAGAGTTGAAAATTTAAAACAAAGATTCTCTTAAATAATTCATACTGTAACCAAAAAATCTAAAAAATATATAAACACACTTATTTTTTACAGACATTTTAAATTCAAATTTGGACGAAATTACATATTAAAAATCCTAGAATAACTATTTTAGTTATTTTGTTGTGATTGAATAATATTATTCGTGGGTACTTGAAACTTCTAAAGTGTACTATTATATATCTATGATAGTATCACGGTTTTTGTTGATGTATAACGTGTTATAAGTATCTAATGGATATTGTGATATGATTAATTTGGAATTTATTATAGGTACCTATTATAGGTCAATTTTTTGTTTAATACCATAGATATGTATATAATATGTCTTATACATAGACTGACATACCGTCACCGCTCAGAATCGTTTTTCTTATACAATGATATTATATCATTGAATTCAAATTTAATACCATCCATTATACAGTGACCCACTTGTAACCTACTGTACAGCAGAGCGACACCCACTTGCCCACCTTTTTTTAATATGGTTATTTTATTATTAGAAATATAAAATTATAAAATGCTTAAGTATTTTATAGACATTGCATCATTCCATCATCAAAATTCAGTTTTTATACGATTTTAATATTCTAACATCTATTATAGGGGGCAAATTAATGTCAATTGATACATTTTATCTGCCTATTATTATTGTATCATACATTCATACCTACAGCAATATAAAATATCATGGTGTCATAATAATACTGTGTACCTACACCGTATACTTATATAGTTATATTATTTACTTAGATCACGTTTTTTTTTAAATATATTAAAGCTTCATAAATATCATTTTATTTATTAAATACGTTGGTGTATTTTATGATAATCATAGATAATAGATATTAGATATTAATTAAATAAATAATTCCGAAGTAGGCTAATTTCTAACAATAAAAGTGTAAAAAATTATTAATTTCATCAATTAATTGTAGAATTTTTATTTGGATTATTTTATTAACTGTAGTAAACAATAATTTTTGCACACAATTTACTAATATCTAAAATGTATAGTTTTAATTTACGTATTTGTTAAGTATTATATTTCACACAATCGATTTTTATAGTTGAGCTAATATCAATCTAAACTTCTAAACTTTATTCAGATGAAATTATAGGAATCTAAAATCAAAGAAAATTATGTGTATATTTTTATTTTTCAAACACTATTTTCTCAGTCAATAGAAAAAGATTTATTAGTCATTGTAACAATATTGTAATTACTTATAGCCTATTATAGGTATTACCTACATTTTATGCTAAGTGGTTTATCGTATGAAAATCATTTGTGTAGATAATTTTAGATTCTGAGTGAAACGATGAATGTATTGATTTTACAATGATGTGTGTTTTTTTTTTTTTTTTTTTATTTTTATATTTATTTTTTTTGTGTCTGTGTACACGATACGTAGTCGAAATAATGCTTCGATTTTCGACTTCAGTATCTTGTTCGATTGGAAAGTGAATATCGTTGGTGCATTGGG